GCCTGAACCCGCCAAACCTGCCTCGAGAAGGGCGAAAGCCAGCAGCATTCTCCGTCGAGGCTGGGAAGGCACCCTAACAGGGAAGCGCCCCTAAAGGGGAGCGACCCAGGGCTTGGAAGCCTCGGGTCCCTGAACCCGGTCTGCAGAGGACTCGGCAAACCAGGCAGTCACAGTCGCCTGCCTACCCCGCCCCCCGGGTCGGGGCCCTCGCCGTTACGGGGAACAGACGGCGGGGACAGGTTGCCTTTGGCTGTCCTGAAGGGGTGCCCACCGAGCCCAGTTCTTGTAAATGAGTCGGATGAAAGCGGCGGGGGAGGGGGGTGGCGGCTCTGAGTTCATTCCCCTCTGATGAGGGAGGTCTGCCACTAGTTAATAGTACCAGGGTTGAGGAAAAGCTAGGTCCCCCAACCCCGCGCCAAGGGCTCTGTAGTTTTGCAAACGTTAGTTCTCGCACCGGAAAAGGCCCAGGAACTTTTTAAAGTGCGCGTTATAAGTCACAGCTCTACAGTGGTCACATCACTGAGGAGGGTCAATAGGCGGGTTCCTGTCTTCCCAGCACCTTTGGGAGGAAGGCTGCCTACCCGGTCTCCCGCCGGCCTAGGTTGGAGACACGGATTGCCAGTAGAAGTACCCTGGACCTCGGTGGTTGAAGATCAACAGCTTATTCCTGAGTGTCTTGCCATTTGTCTCAAAAGTAGACCGAAGCATTTTTACACAGGAACGGGTGAGAGTTATGGCTCTTATTTTGTTAACAGTACCACTGTGTACTTTGAAGCCATTCTCTGTCAAGTGCCATGCTGTGTAGTTAAGAGTTGTCAACAATCATGAGGCAGATACTGTTGACTGTATTTCACAGAGGAGGAAATTTCGGATTGGTTAATGCAAGAAGTTAATAAGTGGATAGATGCTTCATAAGGGAGCTAGATAGGATTTGAACCTCCTGTCATGACTTAACATGACTTACTGTGTGTTGTTACATTCTTTTCCTTTAGTCTTAACAGAAGAATTATATTCTGCTCTAATTGAGAAGTTTCAATCAAAGCACTTGAAATATTAGCATCTTGGTCCTTTTGATAACCCATCTAGATAGGCTTATTTCTCAGTTAGAGGTATAAAGAGTTTAAAAAGGTAACTCAAGTCCTTTACATACAAATTCCAATTTTAATTCTTAATATGTCTGCCTCTTCCCAGGCTCCATTAGAAATACATTCTTGCAGTCAGCATTGTCCTAAATGTGGCTGTCCCTTGATGCCTTTTTGTTTGCTTTAGGCAGAGTCTTATTTTGTAGCCCTGACTGGGCTGGAACTTTGGTAGGCCACTTTGGCCTCAAACTCAGATATCTGCCTGCCTCTGACTCCCGTTGCCAGTATTAAAGATTTGAGTCACCATATCTAGCCCTCAGTTATCTTTTTAAAAAGATTTATGTGCGTGTCTTACCTGTATGTATCTGTTCCACATGCATGCCTGTTGTCCAAGGAAGGCAGAAGAGGTTGTTGTATCTTCTGGAACTGGAGTTACTATGGGTTACATGTGGATGCTGGGAACAGCATCCTCAGCCCCTCATTTGTCTTTAACTTAAATTTGTATTGACTTTTTGAGACAGTGTTTTTGTAGACCAGGCTGGTCTCCCCAGCATTGGGATTAATAAAGGTGTGTACCACCACACTGGGCCTTTGTAAACCTTTTTTTCTTGTTTTAAAAAATTTTCAAGACATGATTTCTCTGTTAAACAGCTCTGGAACTCAATTTGTAGATGAGGCTGGCTTTGAACTCACAGGGATCCACCTGCCTCTGCCTCCTGCCTAAGTGCTGGGATCAAAGGTGTGTGCCAACAACATCGGGCTCCTTTTTAACGTGCATGCCCTCCCTACAAAATATGCCAGTAGGCCTTTTGGAAGAATATTAAGGGACCTAATGTAGAATAAGCCTTTAGAGCAGAGGTTCTCAATCTTCCTAATGCAGTGACCCTTTAACACAGTTCTTCAGGAGGGATGCCTGCCAAACTTAGAATTATTTTCATTGCTACTTTATAACTGTAATTTTGCTACTTTTATGAATTGTAATGTAAATATTTTTGTAGATAGAAGTTTTTCAAAGAGGTCCCACCCACAGGTTGAGCACTGCTGCTCTAGAGGAAAATGCTTGCCATGTTTTGATAAATGTGTTTGTTGGCAAAGCAGTTATCTGTCAACAATTATTATTATTATTATTGAGACTGGGTTTCTCTGTGTAGTCCTGGCTGTTCTGGAATGCACCCAGTAGACCAGGCTGGCCTCGAACTCAGCGATCCACCTGTCTCTACCTCCTGAGTGCTGGGATCAAAGGTGTGCACCACCATGCCTGGCTACCCCTCCACTTTTCATTCTTAGAATACCATATACTTGACAACTGTAGCTCTTTTTTAGTATGTGTATTCATAATAGTTTTGTTATGATGCCTTCACATATACATATCACATCTTTTGCTCGTATTGGAACCCCTTCATTCTCTGTAAAAATTTTAAATTTCTTTACATTACTGAGTAAGTATTTTGCACTTGGGAATGTGCATGCCATGGCTGAGCCATCTTACTGGCTAGCTGTAAAGCTTATGTGAAAAGACCCTCAACTGAAGCAGAGGTCCATCCTCCTCCTCCCTCAGGCTGACTTCTCTCTTAGTTACTCACACCTTCACTAGGGAGTCACTCAGCCAATTGGGAAGCACTGATTCAAGCTTTTCTTTTCAGAGATGCTGAGGATGCAATCTATGGAAGAAATGGTTATGATTATGGCCAGTGTCGACTTCGTGTGGAATTCCCCAGGACTTACGGAGGTCGGGCTGGCTGGCCCCGTGGTGCAAGGAATGGGCCTCCTACAAGACGGTCTGATTTCCGAGTCCTTGTTTCAGGTATGTTCTTTCCACATTGAATAAGATGTGCATGTATGGTACTTCAAAGAGTCTGGCCTCTAAGGAGTATGAGCTATTACTCCATACGTGGTGCATGTTGGCTTTTCAGTAGCCAGTGCACATGGATAGTCCAAAGCTTTGCTCTGGTTTTTCAGGGAGGCAGGTACCATCAGATGAAATTGTACAAGTAATACAGCTTCGTGGGACAGAAACTTGTCTCTTTTCTGTTTGTTTGTATTTAGACAAGGTCCCTATGTAGTCCTGGCTGTCCTGGAATGCATTGTGTAGACCATGCTAGCCTGGAATTCAGAGATCTGCCTGCCTCTGCTTATGCCTCTTGAGTACTGGGATTAAGGGCGTGTGATACCACAGCCTGATAAACATGTTTCTTATTAAGTGGTTTCTTACTAGTGAGAGGGCAATGATGGTGAAACCTCTGATCTAGAATTCTAAAAATGTCTTTCTTTGGGAATTTACCTTGGTATCTGGCTTGGTATCAGGAGCCAGATTCAAATGCCTTAGAATCGTGGGGATTGTATTTGAAAATCACAGAACATCTGTAACTGGATATAATGCTAAACTGAGAAGTTTACATGTCTTTGAAATATCAGTGTAGTGTTAAGACCTGGGGCCTTGTGCACGTTGCAGGGGAGTTTGGGGACCCTAGTGGAGTGAAGCTTATTGAGCTTGGTGCCTGCTGAAGTGTGAATGTTCCACGGTCACAGTAGTGCATAAGAGTGATGCTGTCTGTCTATCTTGTATCCCTTTGTGATTTTTTAACCCTAGGACTCTATTCCCTCCTTCAAGATGTCATACATTATCTTTTTTTCTCTCCATGCTGCTCTGAAATCCTGCTTAGAAAACTATTAGGAAATGGCTGCAGTCCTGAGCTGTGAGCGGTAAACACAGCCTTTGAGAGCAGGAGCACATTTCCCTTTCATGACATCAGGTAGGGTCGTATGACTCCCAACTAGCCTTAGCGTCTGAGTGTTACCTTTCCCCAACTGTAGTGAGGAATGTTGGTGATCTCTTACGAGGTACTTTGTGGTCTGTCAACTGTTCACTACAGTAGAAAACAAACTTTGATCATTGTTGTTGTGTTATTCCCTCAGCTACACTTGGTTTGTTTCAAAATTCCCATGTCTCGGGAAAGTAAGTTCAGCAAGAAATACTTGGTACTAATAAATTTCCTAAAGGAAAAAAAACAAAAACAAAACAGAACTCAGTTTTGGGAGTGTCACATTGTTTGTGGAGGACAGTGGTAAATTCTCAGAGGTTGTAAGCCTGGAACAGGATGGTTTGTTGGGAAAGTTTGGTCTCTGGACAGTTAACCTAGACTAGCTTCTCACAGTGCTTTACCATATATACCTAAGTGTATTTCTCTGGTCTGTGCCCCTTATAAGGATCTGTGACTTGGGAACCCTTACAGAGTATAGACCACCTTAGATATTGCTAGCTCTTAACAGGGCGGTTAACGTGGCTGAAGGATGTGGCTCTTCTCTTACATTCTCTGTGCCTAGGACTTCCTCCGTCCGGCAGCTGGCAGGACCTGAAAGATCACATGCGAGAAGCTGGGGATGTCTGTTATGCAGATGTACAAAAGGATGGAATGGGGATGGTTGAATATCTGAGAAAAGAAGACATGGAGTATGCTCTGCGTAAACTGGATGACACAAAGTTCCGCTCTCACGAGGTAGGTTCTTACCTTTTGTCAAGTCTAATTTAGTGATAGTAGCAACAGGTCATGCCTTTGCCATTTGATGACTTCACTGTACCATTAAAGATCTATCTACACAGGCTGGAGAGAGGGTTCGGCCGTTAAAAGCACTGGCTGCTCTTCCAGCACCCACATGGCAGCTCACAACTAGCTGTCTGTAACTCCAGTTCCACCGTACCTGTATGACCCGCCCTCATACAGACACACGTGCAAGCAAAACACCAATGCACATAAATTAAAAAAAAAAAAAAATTAAATAAAGGGGGTGTTTGCTATTCCTAAGTCCTGCAGTGTCAGAGCAGGGAGAAGTATGCATTTGTTTATCTTGATTTTCTTCCTTTTTGAAATGGGAGAGTAAGGGTACCCACCTCCAAATAACATTGTGAAAGTTTAGTAAGATTAGTGTTAGGCATGCAGTTAATACTCGGGGCTGTTAGTCAGCCAGTTTTAGAGGTTGGCTTTGCTTACTATTCCTATGCTGATTCTCTACTTTTTCTTTTCCTGTTTGTTCGATTTTCAGGGTGAAACTTCATACATCCGAGTTTATCCTGAGAGGAGCACTAGCTATGGCTACTCACGGTCCCGGTCTGGGTCCAGGGGCCGTGATTCTCCATACCAAAGCAGGGGCTCTCCACACTACTTCTCTCCTTTCCGGCCTTACTGAGGAAGACCGTGGGAAGTTTCTCTCTCTCTCTCTTTTTTTTTTAGATGTGCTGAGCTGCTTTGTGCTCAGAATCTACATTCCAGATTGATAATTTAGCATCTTAGGAAATTTTTTTAATTTCTTTCTTTCTTTTTTTAAGGAACTACATAATTTCAACCAGGGCTGCCATACTAGCAGTGAAATGTTTTAGACTGCAGAAATAGAAGTTGTGGCTTTGGTTCAGAAACAAGTTGTATATTTTTCACCCCTGATTATGGGACAGAAATCAGTGCTGCATCTTTGTGGGTCACTCTGCTCTGGAGATCAGCAGTTACGATGACTGAGTTGCCCATTTTGTTTAGAAATATATTTTAAATGTTTAGTAATTGGTATGTGGTTGTCTTTGAGTAAGCATGTAGGTTTCACCAACAGGTTCTTGCCAAAAAGAAGTATCATTTGCATTGTCACACCAGCTTGTCAGAAGCGGGAGAAACGGTGATGGTTTCAAAATTTCAATACCCAAGGGCAGATCCCAAGATTGATTTTTATGTACATGTGTGTACCATGTGTGTGTTAGTGCCCACTGAGGCCAGAAAGACAGCATAGATCCCCTGGAACTGGAGTCACAGGAGGTTGCGGGCCACCCTGAGTTGACCTGGTACTAGGAGCCTGACTCAAGTCAGACAGGAGACTAGGAAGTGCTCTTTTTTGTTGTTTTGTTTTTCTGAAACAGGAGTTCTCTGTGTAGTCCTAGCTGTTCTTGAACTGAGAGATCCACCTGCTTTTGCCTCCTAAGTGCCTGCTGGGTTTAAAGACATGGGCCACAGCACCAGTTTAGGAAGTTCTCTTAACCACTGAGCCATCTTTAAGCCAGATTCTTATGATGCAGAACTGACAATGTAAAATAAACTGCCTGTAAAAGGAGTTTGCTGAGGTGGTTCATGCCTCTATCCCTGTACTTGGGAGGCTGTGGTAGGAAGAAAGAATCTATGCATCCAAGGCCAATATGCGGTACAGAGGCCCTGTCTGGACAAACCAAAAAAATGTGTGTTTGTGAGGGCACATTGCAGATAAAGGGAAGAGGAAGAATGAAAACAAGCCCAGGGCTATTTTTAACAAGTTCTTTTCAGAAAGGAACTGTTGGGCTTGTGTGTGTGGGGAGACACTGTGTGGGGGGAGGGGGTCAGGTGTTCAAAGACACTGGGGAGGGTTGAGCATTCCTATATACACTGGAGGGGGTCAGGTGTTCACAGACACTGTGCTACTATGCACCCTGTGTGTGGGGGGTGGTCAGGTGTCCACAGACACTGGGGAGGGTTGAGTGTTACTGTGCACTCTTGTGTGTGTGTGTGTGTGTGTGTGTGTGTGTGTGTGTGTGTTGTCAGGTGTTCACACACAATATGGTATGGGAAGGGAGGGTATTCATATACACTGTGTGTGGGGGGGGTTGAGTGTCTAGATACACGATGTGTGGGAACGCGGTAGTGCCACTTTCTGAGAAAGGAAGGTTTTAAATTAGGAATTTCCAGGCTGTGTTATTTTGATACTACTCAAACTTTTCCATGAAATGAGCCCTCTGGCCGGGCGTTGGTGGCGCACGCCTTTAATCCCAGCACTCGGGAGGCAGAGGCAGGTGGATCTCTGTGAGTTTGAGACCAGCCTGGTCTACAAGAGCTAGTTCCAGGACAGCCTCCAAAGCCACAGAGAAGCTCTGTCTCAAACAAACAAACAAACAAATAAATAAACCGAATGAAGATGGTTGGCTGTTCAAGTCAGTGGAATAGTAACGAAAATAACTTTTGTTTACCTAGTCTGGGCAATCTATCTTCTAAGTATAAACAGAGAAATTCACATATATACATTTTGATAGCTTTTTAGGAGATAGAGGATGTTTTCCATACAGAACAGGCCTGTGAGTACTTGATCCATTTCCTTGGAAGCAGGCTTGTGGTGTTCTATTAGCTGGGTGTTTTCCAGTTGTCAGGACAGTTAGCAAGAAACCATAAATGTCCAGTTTACACTAGAATTCACAGTAGCAAATGACCACCCTTGGGAGTCCACCATCTTGATATGGTTCCCCTTTCCCAGAATAGCTACTCTGCTGTAGGAGAAGGGGTCTTGTTTACCAAGTCTGGCAAAGAAATATTACCTGTTTGAAAACAAGAAAAAAAATTATAGTTGAGCTTGCTGTCCAGCTGGCCCTCCTAAACTAACTGTCACTGGTTTTCATGGAAAATAGTGGAAGTAGGTATTAATGACATCTTTTTTCCTAACTCTCAAGTATCAGTAACAGTTCAAAGCGAAGTCAGATCCACACTTTCCAGCGCATAGAGACAAGCTGTACATAACCAGCCATATATATTCAGGTAGGAGTAGAAGACTAACTCTGTGCCTAGAATCCAAGTTTGGAGGAAGGTTGTAGCTGTGTGATATGATCAGTAGATATATTTGATGAAGTAGCAACTACTGGGCCCTGAAAGGCAAGGTTATTAAAGTCTTTCTCTTTAGCTAGCTGAGGCAAATACAGCATAGTTAAGAATTTAACCCATGGATGGCGGTGGTGTTGCACGTGGTGCACACCTTTAATCCCAGCACTCAGGAGTCAGAGGCAGGCAGATTTCTGTGAGTTCAAGGCCAGCCTGGTCTACAAATCGAGTTCCAGAACAGCCAGTGTTTTTATACAGAGGAAACTCTGTCTTGAATAACCAACAAAGAAAAAAAGTTTAACCTATAAGTTTGTTAGCTTGGCTCACCAGAGCTTTATTTGTCAACTGCCTGGTCTTGGTGTCTGCTGTGGAGATAAAAGGGCAGGTTTCTCAGGCTTCCATTTTAAGTTTGTAGAGGGAGTTTGGAAATACAAGTTGCTACATCAGGGATTACAAACCATTGCTAAGATACATCATAGTTTATAGGTATGTTTCGGCTGGCATGTCATGTTAATTTTTCTTGAATTGGTTGCCAATACAAGTTGAGGAAATATCAGACAAAATGTCATACATTTAAATTCTCCAAACAGATAGGATCAGGTTCCTCTGGTACCAGGAGAGCACCAGGGAATGCCAGACAGGGTTCCGGGCCCAGGGAGATATGCTGCCTGTTGCACATACACCCTTAGTCCTTCCTGTACTTTGCTTTCATTACTGACTGTCCCCTAAAGGTGAGTCAGACTCCTGGACTACTCATAACACCACTACTTGTGTGGTTTACTCTTTTTCATTCGGATAGTGTGTCTTCAGTGACAATGTCTGAGCTGCTCTGGGTAACACATACCTGGGGGGGCCACAAAATACTCCTCCACAACATGATGGGAATTTCGTAGTAGTTCTTCAGTACAGTTGCCTTCTGCTACATTGTCAGATCTCAAGTAGACACATCTGCAAAACCCAGAGGTCAGAGTTACACATTCTGAGGGAACTGAGGCTTCTAGAGCAGAGAGACAGGATCAATATGGGGGCTATAGGGGAGCAAAACAGTCTGCTGTGCTCACTGTCCCCAGGTAGGGAGGGGTGCTGTGGTCAAAGTAAACCAAAGAGCTGTCTACAGTTTGGAGGTCTTCCTGGCCATTGTAGTGAGCTGTAATTATTCCCTGGTTTGATTAGCAAATCTTTCTGGATAATTAGCATGAGCAGATTAATTTTGGTGAAGTAAGGGAAAGGGCAATTATGATACAACTGTATTAAATCTGGGCTGGAGTGATATCTCAGTGGTTAGGTGCCCTGGCTGTTCTTCCAGAGGACTCAGGCTCGGTTCCCAGCACCTCCATGGTGACTCCAACTGCCTATAACTCCACTTCCAGGAGATCTGATGCTTTATTCAAAGGGCACTGCACATCTGTGGTGCATATACTCAGGCACAGATGTGCTCATGCACAAGCACACACACACATCCTCCCCCATACACACAGATTTTGAACAAAGCACATCAAAGGACTAGCAAGTGTCCCAGACTCTGCTTCAGTGGGAAGCATATGCTCAAGGATCAGTGATGTCATTGCCAAAGGATAGACAAGAAATAACTGAGTGGGTTTGTGTGTGGGGAAATGGACATTTTACCAGATGCAACATAAATCCATGCAAGAGAACATAGCCACCTAAGGGGATATACAGACGCCTGCCATTCATCAAGATACACTATGAACAGTGGCATTAGGTGGTTCACACCAATAATCCCTGCACTTAGGTAGTCTAAGGTTAGTGCCAATATAGGTTTTTGTCTCAAAAGAAGATACATCTTAATCCCAACACTCAGGAGGCAGAGACAGAGATCTCTGTGAGTTGGAGGCCAGCCTTGTCTACAGAGCAAGTTTCAGCATAGCCAGGGCTACACAGAGAAACACTGTCTTGAAAAAAAAACAATGTATGTATGTATGCATACATACATACATACATACATACACACACATCACAAACAGATTGTAAATATCTATTGTTCTCTAGGTGTACATCTAAAATATGTAGATTGCTTAGGTCAAGGCACTTGCCACCTAGCTTAAGCTGGTACACACATGGAAAGAGAACGGACTCCCATAGGCTGACCTCTGTCTTCCACCTGTACTCTGGTCAGTCTCTCTCTCTCTCTCTCTCTCTCTCTCTCTCTCCCTCTCTCTCCCCCTCCTCCCCCTCACTCTACTCTCCTCTTATATTTCTCTCTATGTAGGTTGAGTTTACAGCCTACATATTAAGCTCAAGGTCAGCCAGGGCTACACAGTGAGATTCTGTAAAATTCCTATGTTACAAACTAGTGAAACTAAATGGGAACACAGTCAAACTTCAGAACATGAAGTGTCTTACCACAATCAGCCTGCTTCTGGATACTCCTATTAAAAATGAAGGAGTCTAACACCTTTAACCCCACTACCTCTGAGTTCAAGACCAGCCTGGTCTACAGAGCATGTTCAGGACAGCCACCTGAGAAACCCTGTCTCAAATCAAAAAGTTATCAACTCACCAGCAAAGAAGTACCCAACACAAAGATAGATATTGCCATTAATGGTAAGAGAACAGAAGGTTGGAATTGGTTGTAGGGCCTGGGTTTGGTTGCTTGTACCCACATGGAGGTGTACAACTGCACAACTCCAGTTCCAGGGAACCTTGCAGGGACCACACTATTCTGACCTCTGTGGACTCCTGCACACATATGCATAGACTCAGGCACATACACATAAAAATTAAAAACATTCAAGTCTGGCCTAGGGTGCTGGGATTAATAAGGCATTTTTTTTTTTGGAAGTCCTACAAATGTCATCTTAAAATGACAAGCGGGATTCATTAACTTAAAATATATCTTAAAATTTATGGACAGAAATGCAGGCCATTGAGTAACAAGCTCAGATTCCAGCCACCACATGCCAACTACTGTTTGTTTTGACTGTTCCATTTGTAGCAACCCTGTTTCCTTAGGTATTAGAAGTCAGAAAATCCTGACTCCTGAAAAAAAAATTACATTTTAAAAATTTTGTAGCTGGGCGTTGGTAGTGCACGCCTTTAATCCGAGCACTCGGGAGGTAGAGGAGGTGGACCTCTGTGAGTTCGAGGCCAGCCTGGTCTACCGAGTGAGTTCCAGGACAACCTCCAAAGCAATACAGAGAAACCTTAGCTCAAAAAAAACCCAAAACAACAACAACAACAAAAACAAACAAAAAATTTGTATGGGGCAGAGATATGTACTGTGGTAAGTGTGTGGAGGTCAGAGGACAACTTTTTCAGGTCTCTTCTTCCACCATGTGGGTCTTGAGGGTCAAACTAAGATCATCGGGCTTGGCAGCGATTATTCTCACCCACTGAAGCATCCCACCCTCTGACTCCTTAGTGCTTCTCTTCTCTCCCCCAAATAAACCGGTGAAATGTTCATTTAAGCATTTACCAAGTATTTACTCAGTGCTAGACACCAAAAATAAGCAATGTATGGAACGTAGATAAACAGAA